AGGGGGGAGGATTCATAAAAACTGGAGCAGACAGAATCTGGAGCAGTTGCTCATGGCAATTAGTCAGCTTCTCTGGTTCATTTTCAAAGATTAAAGTGACACTAAATTCAAGAGTTAAATCTTAAATATGCATTCAAGTACCTTAACTATTAACAAAAATGCAGCGTATTTGTGTATCACTCAGCTGTAGATCCTCATCATCTCTGAATTGTGAAACTGTCCTTCCTTCTGGAGGGGGGCTACTTTTGTTCTCCCTGGTCCCTGTGTGTTGTAAAGTAGTCACCGCTCCAAGCTCACTCCTATGATGAACTACAATCTCAATACAAATTAGGAAACTAAACATGAGATTGTATCTCCATCATGGGGGAGAGTTTGGAGGGGCCATGGGGAAGAAAAGTAGCCACCCTCCAGAAGGAAGGACAGTGTCAGCACCAATTCAGAGATAATTTGAGGATCTACAGCTAAGTGATACACAAAAAAGATAGATTTTTGTTAATAGTTAATGCATATTTAAGATTTGACTCCTGAGTTTAGTGTCACTTTGTGCTTTGAAAATAAAACAGAGAAGCTGAGTGGTTGCCATGGGCGACTGCTCCAGTTTTTATTGTCAGGATCCTTCTGGCGTGCGGCGCGGCTCTGCACTGTCAGCTGATAGTAGGCTTTACCTCACTATCTGCTGACTTTAGGTCAGAGGAGTACATTAGGAAACGTAATCACGTGAGCCAATAGATAAGTATAGGCAAATAAAAAGGCTTTTTTTTTAACGTGAAGATCTAGCTCCAGGCCAGCAGAGGTCGCCCTTCTAACTCGCTTTCCCCCTAAGCGCCCTTCCCAGGCTCCTGTGCTGGCCGCGCTTCCTCTTGGTATGAAACAGGGGGCAGCCAGTGAGAGGAGGAGAGCGGCCGGTCGCTGGTGGAGTGAAGGCGGCGCCTGGCATCCAGAGACTGCATATGAAGCCGGGCATGTCCTGACCTGACAGCCGCTCTTTTATACCGGTGTTCTCACACACCCTCGTGCATGGAATAGCTACCCGGATACAAAAGTTTGCAGTCACCTCTACATCACAGGCTTCATTGTAGAGCCGGGAGCGCAGTGTCTGCCTCAGTGCTGTGTGTGTAATACCCCGGAAGACACTGAGCTGCTCCTTCTCCCGTGATAGCAGTGAGCGCCTTGACATATCATGTACCCCGAGTAGTGTGTGTTCATGGGACAGTCTATATGACTGTGGATGTGCAGAATGTGCTGGCTGCACTGTGTGGATGAAGCTGACCGACCTTCGTCTGGATACATGAGCGGTATATGAGGGCAGATTGTCCTGTGCTGTTTCTATGAACCCCCCACACCTCCCTGTGAAGAAGATGAGGCTCATCCCAGAGTTCTTCAAGTGCAAATGGGCACTGACTGTGCTCTTCATCCTGGCACTCATGCACTTGGTGCCTGTTGTTGCTTCTGATGTCAATCTGGATTCAGAACCCGAGTACCCAGGCATTACCCCCTTCGATGAGGGGGTCAACCTGGATGCCCACAGTAGTTCTGCCAATAAAACCTATAAACCCCGAAAATTGTTCCCGGTGCTCGATCTGGACTACCATCATATTCGTTATCCGTTTGAGATCTCTTTATGGATTCTTCTGGCTTGTCTGATGAAACTGGGTGAGTGGCAGCCGCTGCCTGGAACTAAAGTCTGTTGCTGTGTATTTTGGTCTAGCATTGTGCTGCATCAAAGCAGTGGAGGACGCATTGCTATGGAAGATTTGTATAGCGAATACCCTACCCTGTGCATTGTTTATATGCTGTCTCTTGACTGTGGTTATAGTTGTCACTATGTAAAGCTGGCCACAGTTGTGGCAGGATTGAACAAAAAAAAAAAAAAAAGCCACTCCCCTTCTTCATCCACGCTAAGGTGACCATACACTAGTAGGTTTCTTTCCTTCAGCCTAAGGAATGAATGAAAACAAATCTGGCAGATTCCTGCGTCCATGCTGAACAGTGTGAATGGAGGAATCACTCGTGGCAGCTCTTGTATTCTGACAGTCTGTGCCTCAGGCTGCAGTCACCGTTTGAGAATCGTCTGCCCGCCTCCTTCCACTTGTCAGACTGAAGGATGTTGGGCAGAAGGCTGCTTTCAGAACCACCCATATTCATGAAAAAACTGCCAAAATTAGCTCCATGTATTGCGATCTTAAACAGCGTGAATGTGAGAAATCTTCCCTGTTAGGCTGTTGTAGTCTGATAGCCGGTGCTCGCAGCTGTCAGAATATTCGAACATCAATTGTAACTAATTGGCTGCAGTCACTGTTCAGCTGACAATTTCCGGCACTGTTCCTTTGACAAAAGTCAATTGAAACCAAGTTTTGTCGATCTGGGTGGTGCCTGCAGGGCTACCTCCGGATCGCATTTTGTCCCAGTCAGCAGGGCTCAGGTGAAATTCAAGCGCTGTATGGCCAGCTTTACTGATTGTACCCTGATTGTTTTGTTTTTTTTAAAGATGAACTGTTTGACTCAAAGGAAATCCAAACCAAGAACAAAAGGTAATATATTGCAGCTTACCAGTCCTTAGATGTTGTGGCTGCATTAGTTGTCTTTTTCCAGCCTCAAGCTGGCCATACACTGCTCGAATTTTGTCTCAGTCTGTGGCTGGCCCTGAGGACACCACCGGTTCCACAAAAGTAATTTTTTTTCCGCCTCAATCAAACAATCAAATTATGATGAAGGAGCCAAAAACTGTTTGGCAGGTATTCTGACAGCAGTGGATCTCGAGTGTCAGAATACTATAGTGTGACGGGGAGATTAAATGAGCAAAAAAAACCCACTTGATTTCCCCCATCCATGTTGCTTAGCATGGATGGAAGAAATCAAGCATTTTTTAATCATTCAGCCCATTGTGCTGAACATAACAAATCGGCACATGACTAGTTTAACCCCTTCGTGACGGGAGACGTACACTGTACGTCCAGCCACAAAGGGACCAAATGACTTGTCACTTACACTGTACGTGACGAGTTATTTGCTTCTTTTGAGGGCTGTTAAACGCTGAGAATCAGCTTTTAACATTCATTAATGGATGCCCTTACTACAGAGGCATTCATTAATGAAAGGGTTAACCTTTTTCAGACACCCGATACCTTAATATCGGGTGTCTGAGAGTCAAAGCAGAGGGACACACATGCCGGCTTTTGCCGGCATTCTGACAGCTCGTATAGATCGAGAGAGATATCTCTCTCAAGCTATACTGGCTTTTTTTTCTTTTTTTCTTTCATGAATAGATACATAATGTGTCTATTCCTATAATGTATCTATTCCTGGAAGAAGAATGTTTCAGTTTGCTGATCGTTGTTGCAACAATCAGAAAACCTATAGTGACAGCTGAATCCTGAACTGCTGCAGGATCAGTGTCACTAACTTATT